GAAAGCAGTATGGTCTCCAATTTACTGTATATATTGTTTCAGAATGAAATCTTCCAAAATAGTCTTGTCTTCCAGTCATGAGCCTAAGCTCATTAATATTTAACTCCAGAATACTCCATGTTCAAATGTAGGTATCTCACATTAAAATAGTATGACTGAAAAATGACTGAAAAAAGTAATATGTCTACCTTGTTATTTTAGAGAAGCTAAAAAGTATAACTAGTGAACTATGAACTAGTTTTACAATGGTGATAGAAATCCATCAGCTAATTTCATAATGCAGCATACACTGTACTTATGATTTATAGCTATAACCATGCCAAACAAATGGTTGCATAGCTTGATTTCTCAACAAGAGTAATGGTGGGAAATTAAAATAATGATTTTGTGACATAAGGCTGCTGTGATGATGGTAAGCTAATTTTCAAGGTCTGAGAATTGCAAAAATGTTTTGATAACCAGCAATGAAAAGCTTTCATTTCTTTGCTCTTCTATAAAGTCACTACTCCATCCCACATACTTTTCCTTCCAAGTAATCATATACTTCTCCAGATGAAGGAGAATTAGCATTCCTGGTTTGTTTCCTACATCAGAAAGAATGATCATGCATTTTCAAGCATGTTCATTAGCCTTATATTTGCCACTGCAGCAATCAACTCTTCAATGTGCATTGATTTAAACAGTTAAAAAAAAAGTTAATACAATTTCTGAAAACATATATCAGCAGATTAACATTTTCATTTCACAAGTCACTTGATCAACTTAAATGCCATAGGATATTTCAAAATGGGATTTTATTTATAACTTTTTTCTCACAAACATATATTTATTGATTGATTCATGTAGTTTTCTTTTTAGATATCATACCACTATTCCCATAAAGCGATGGTGCAAAAAGATTTATTATAATAACCAAATGAAACTTTCATAACTCTGCTGCAATGAATAAAGGAAAATGGCAAAAGTTTCATAGATGTACAAAGTTACACAGTATATAATACAGAGTCAAGCTTCTGTAACAGCATGGTGGCTCAATGGTCAAGATGCTGAGCTTATCAGTTGGAAAGATGGCAGCCCAGGTTCGAGACCCAAGCACCATGAAAAGGGGTAAGTTCCTATCTTCGTCCCAGCTCCTGCCAAACTAGCAGTTTGAAGCCTGGGCATGTGAATAAATAAATATACTTCATGGGAAGGTAACGGCACTCCATGATGTCATGCTGGCCACATGATCACAGATATAGTTAACAGCAGTGGTGAAATTTAATTTTTTCTACTACCAGTTCTGTGGGTGTAGCTTGATGGTAAGGTCTTGTGACTGAGTGGGTGTGGCCAACTTAATGTCACTCATAGCCATTACCCACTCAATCACATGCCACCACCACCACCAAGCTATGTCCACAGAATCCAGGAGGAAAACAAATTGCGTATGAGTCCATTTACAGTAGAGCTGCTGCTCCCTTTATGGTTCCCCCTCCCTTCCTGGGTCTACCTTAAGGGGACAGGCTGCAACAGCTCTGCTTTGAACAGAGGAAGAAACATTNAGACTGGGTATTTTCTCTGTCTTCCAACCTGAGCGGTGAGCTCAGGCAGCCATCTTCCTTCGCACATGCGCACTACCAGGCTAGAAACCGGGAGACGGTGAGTTCTAGTCCTCCCTTAGGCACAAAGCCAGGTGGGAGACCTTGGGCCAGTCACTCTCCCTTAGCCTTGGGAAGTAGGTAATGACTCACAACGCTTTTGAAAAATGTTTTCTTGATTAAATGTTTTTAGCCCTTGGTAAACCATTTATAAAGTTGCTGAGAGTCACCATATAAATTTAATAAATTATTATCCTAACATCAGTGGCTCTGCATCAGGCTGGAAGGAAGCGTCAGGTGGCATGCTGCAGGAATCTGTTGTCGGTCTGCAATTTATTACTAAATGACTTGGATGAGTTAGGAAATATGATTTATTTCATTTGCAGATGAACCAAATATTTTTCTTTGAAGTCATCTTTGGTTCATTAGAAGACAGTATCTAGTTTAAACTACAAGTAAACTTTATTTGGTCAATAACCAGCACAAAATAGAGACAAGTAGAAAATAAGTTTAAGATTAAGAGGATCTTGGGTTGTTGGAACAATAAATGGAAACCAGCAAAATGCATAGAAAAAAAATAAAGGCATGGATATAGCATAGAACCTTTATGGTCAGCTGTACATGTCAAAGGGAATGTGAGTCAAAAGTGTGATCCCAGGAAATAAATACCATCCCAGGCTGTATCAACTGGTACTGATGCATTCCAATCCATACAGGGGTTTAAAACTCAGTATATTAATCCCTGATATTTCAGTTTTTGATAACAGAATAGCAGCAGTGCTGGACTGTGTATAGTGCATCACACAAAAAGCATCTAAGTCAGGAATTCTACCCATGGAATTCTGCCACAAGGACAGGCCCAGCCTGAGTGGTATCTAATCCAGGGATACAATCCAGCCTGGGGCTATATTTAATTCCTGAGATCACACTTTTGACACATTCTCTGACATCTACAGCTGACCATAAGGTTCCATACTATATCCATGGCTTTATTTCAAGCTTCAAGTCATTGGAAGCTTTCAAGAAGAGACTGGACTGCCATCTGTCAGAAATGGTGTTGTATCTCCTGCTGAGGAGGTTGGACTAGACTAGGCATCCTCAAACTACAGCCGGCAAACTGGATACAGCCTGCCAATGCAAAGTATCTGGCCCATGGAGTTGTGGGATGAAAAGCAGCTGCCAGCTTGTAAAAAAGTGCTTTAAAAGTCTTTAAAAACAACCTTTCAGATGTTTTTCACAGCCATGTGATCCAGGGCCAATGGGAAGGGTTCAGTTCAGTTCCTTTATTTGTATGCCGCCCTTTTCCCTGAGGGGACTCAGGGCAGCTCACAAGTCAGGGGAGGGGAGGAC